CCCTTGGGGTTGGCTTCCAGTTTCAGTCCCCTGTGGTCAGAGAAAATGCTTGGTATGATTTCAATATTCTTATTTTGTGTCCTATCATGTGGTCTATCTTTGAAAATATTCCGTGTGCATTTGAAAAGAATGTGTATTTAGCTTCTTTAGGGTGAAGGGCTCTGTATGTATCAGTTAGGTCCATTTCATCAAGGGTGTTGTTTAATGCTGCAATATCTTTGTTGATATTTTGTTTGGAAGATCTGTCCATTTTTGATAGTGGGGTGCTAACATCCCCCACTATAACTGTGTTGCTGTCAATATCTTTCTTGAGTTCCTCTAAGATTTTCTTTATATATTTTGGTGCTCCTATGTTGGGTGCATATATATTTATGATGTTAATGTCTTCTTGGTGGATTCTTCCCTTGAGTATTATGAAGTGACCTTCTGGGTCTCTCTTTATAGCTCTTTTTTTGAAGTCTATTTTGTCTGATATGAGAATTGCTACCCCAGCTTCTTTTTCTTGTCCATTTGCTTGGAAAATTTGTTTGCAGCCTTTCACTTTTAGTCTGTGATGGTGTTTTGTCCTGAGGTGGGTCTCTTGTAGGCAGCATATGTGTGGGTCATGCTTTCTTATCCATTCAGCTATTCTGTGTCTTTTGATTGGAGCATTTAAGCCATTTATGTTTAAGGTTATTATTGATAGGTACTTATTCATTGCCATTTTTGTATCTGTGTTCCTCTCTGTATCCCTCTGTTCCTTTCTTCCCTTAAAGCAGTCCTTTTAGTATTTCTTGTAGGGCTGGTTTGGTGGAAGCATATTCTTTTAGACTTCTTCTGTCTTGGAAGCTCTTTATTTGGCCTTCTATCTTGATTGAGAGCCTTGCTGGGTAAAGTAGCCTTAGTTGTAGGCCTCTGGTTCTCATTACTTGGAATATTTCTTGCCATTCTCTTCTTTCTTGGAGGGTTTCCATTGAGAAGTCAGTAGCTAAGCTTATTGGGGCTCCCTTGTATGTTACTTCTTTTTTCTCCCTTGCTGTCTTTAAGATTCTCTCTTTGTCTTGGAATTTTGCCATTTTGATGATGATGTGTCTTGAAGTGGGCCTCCTTGGGTTCCTCTTGAGTGGGACTCTCTGTGATTCCTGGATTTGTGTGACTTTTTCTCTCATCAAATTAGGGAAGTTTTCTCTCATTACTATTTCGAATACATTTTCTATCCCTTGTTCTTCTTCTTCTCCTTCTGGTATTCCTGTTATTCGGATATTATTACGTTTCATACTGTCTTGCATTTCTCTTAATCCCCCTTCATTCTTTCTGAGCCTCTTTTCTCTTTCCTGTTCTTTCTGTGAGATGCTTTCTACTTTGTCCTCCAACTCACTAATCCTATCTTCTGTCTCATCTGCCCTATTTTTAATGCTTCCTACTGTGTTTTTCTATTCAGAAACTGTATTCTTCATTTCCTCTTGGCCCTTGCTAATAGTTTCCACTTCCTTTTTCACGTTGATGTAGTTTGCGGTGAGATTGTTGTAGCTCCCCTGTAGTTTCTGATAGCTCATTGTAAGCTCTTTGAAGTTCCTGATAACCAGTGCGTTGAATTCAGTATCTGATAGTTGACTTGCCTCTATTTCATCTAACATTCTTTCTGAAGGTTCCTCCTTTCCTTTCATTTGGGGATTGTTTCTTTGTCTTCCCATTGTTTGTGAGACTCTTCTTGTTAGCCTCAGCTTCTTAGATTAATCTGTTTTGACACCCTGGGTTTAAGGTGTGGACTTCTGTGGTGAAGTGCCTGTGGATTTCGGTGGTGCAGTCTCTTTCGGTTATCCTGTTGTTCTCTGCGTCCACCTACTCAAATATGCAGCAACTTTTGGCTTCTCTCCTACAGCAAAGTGCAATTCGTCTCTCTGACTCTACTGTTGGGAAGCCTCTTCTATGGGTCCAGCTCTGGTCTTTTCGTATTTTCAAGTTGATTATGACTCTTGTGGGTAAAAGAAAGAAAAGACAAGGAAATAAATAAAAGGAAGGAAAAAAAGGGTAGGGGAATGGAAGAAAGAGCAATAAGTTTAGAAAAATAAAAGAAGGAATAAAACAAAATCCCAAAAAAGAGGACAAAAGTATTGAATGATGAAACAGTAATAAAGTTTAAAAGAAATAACAGATTACTTTAAAAAGCAAAAAGATAAAGAAAAGGAATGGAAAAAGAAAGAAAAGTAAAAAAAAATAATAAAAATAAAATAAAATTAAGTAAAATAAAGAGAAAAAAGAAAACCCAAAACAACAACAAAACGGAAATGTCACTTGTTGGTTTCAAACTAGCCGAACCGGTTTTTCTGGTTGCAGTTGGCTGAGGGTCGATTGTTGTGATTTTTTCAGCCAGCCCCCCTCAGGATCCAGACACTTGGTGCCTCTCCCCAGCTCCCTACAATGGGGAACTAGGACTTCCTCACAGCACTCCCCTCCCAGGGGTTACCACCATGGGCTGGTTTGTGGTGTTTGCGGGCACCTGCACTGGCCTAATTGCCTGGTTCCCTCAGGATTGAGCACAGACCTGCCCCTGTTCTGTGGGGAAGCTCTAGGCCCTCTGCCCAATCTCGGGTGCACTGCCAAGCTGGGTGTGGAGCAGACCAGGCTGTTGTGTCTATTGGATTCAGAGCCCCACGCTGTACCTCTCAGTTCTCCTGGGCTGGCAACCACAGAGTCCTCGGTTGGGGCCCTTTGTCCTCAGTACTCTCTCAGCAAACTCTATCAAACAAGTCTCTCCTGGCACCCCACCTTGCTTGGCTGGAAAGGGAGGGGGTTGAGGATCTCAACTCTTTCCCCAGGACCCCTCAGCGCCTGGGGCTTCCAGATAGTCTGAGGGGGATGGACTGGAAGCCGGGAGCCGATCCTTAGGCCTGGGCGCTGACCTAGAAACTCTGTGTGCACCTCATGGCACGCTGTGTGGTGTATACTGATCCCTCGAACTGTGCGCAGGCTGAAATCCCCTCTGCTCCCCTCTGGTTGGGCCACTTGGCAGGTCCCAGCTGAAAAATCCTAGGGAGGGAGCTTTCTGGGCACTGAACATTGGCCCAGGCGCCATCAGGCACTCGCCCAGATACACTGCGCTTTGGGCGCTTAATCCCCCAAATTGTGTGCAGGCTGAAATCCCTTCCATATCTCTTTGCCTGGGCCACTTGGCCAGCCCGGCCGAAAAACCCCAGGGAGGGAGCCCTCCGGGTGCTGAACATTGACCCAGGCGCCATTGGGCACTCGCCATGGGGCACTGATCCCCCAACCGTGCACCGGTGTAGATCCCTGTTGTTTCTCTTTGCTCCGTCCCCGAGACGACTGTACCACTACTGTGTCCCTACCACCTGGTTCCTCTGTGACCGTCAAGGTTTCTGGTCCCTTATTTTCATATATACTTGGCAACTGCTGGCTTGCTGGCTTCTCCTCCTCCATCGGACAGGTTTCTCTCCCTTTTGTACTAGGAACTGGTATCTGCTCCGTTCTACTCCATCGCCATCTTAAAAGCCCCTCTTTTTCTTTTCTTATCACTGTTGTTAAAATTTCTAATTCTACATTGAATAGAAGTGGTGAAAGTGGATAAGCTTGTCTAGTTCCTGATCTCAGTGGAAAAGATTTTAGTTTTTGCCCATTGAGTATGATGTTGGTTATAGGTCTTTTATATACGGCCTTTATTATGTTGAGGAATGCTCTCTCTATTCCTATTTTGCTGGGTGTTTTTATCATAAATGGGTGCTGTACCTTATTAAATGATTTTTCAAATCTATTGATATGGTCATGTAATTTTTTTCTTTGCTTTTGTTTATGTGATGTATTACACTTACTGATTTGCGAATATTGTACCATCCTTGCATCCCTGGGATGAATCCCACTTGGTCATGGTATGTGATGTTTTTAATGTATTGTGGGATGCAGTTTGCTAATATGTTGTTTAGGATTTTAGCATCTATGTTCATCAGCATTATTGGCCTGAAGTTTTTTTTCTTTGTTGTGTCTTTATCTGGTTTTGTGATTAGAATGATGCTAGCTTCATAAAAAGAGTTTGGGAGTTTTCCATCATTTTGGATTTTTTTGAATAGTCTGTGAAAGATAGGGGTTAGCTTTTTCTAAATGCTTTGTAGAATTCTCCTGTGAAACCACCTGGTCCAGGGCTTTTGTATGTTGGGAGTTTTTTGATTACTGCTTTGATTTCATCTGCTGTTATTGGTCTGTTCAGGTTTTCTGCTTCTTTTTCATTGAGTTTTGGAAGATTATGTTCTTCTAGAAATTTCGTCTATTTCACCTAGGTTTTCAAACTTCTTGGCATACAGTTCTTCATTGTAATTTCTTACAATCCTTTGTATTTCTGTGGTATCAGTTGTAATCTCTCCCCAAACTGAGAAAACTTAAAAGGAGTAATTGCTAAGTAAACAGGCACTAAAGGGCTTATAATTCTACTTTATTGAACTGAACAGTAAAATATATATTACCATTTGATTCCAGCTAGCTGCATTTTGATGTTCAAGTAGTATTAAGAAAGGCATTTTTTTCTGAAATATTAACATGGGCTGGCAAATAGTTTCGTGCACCCTGATAGTATGGTTTTTGAGTTTCATCTAGTTATATAATGATGGATAGTTCTTAATGTTAATCCTTATAGAACTTCCCTAAGTTCTTCCCTAATCTAATCAATTTATGCCTTGCAATGATTTAATTTTAGAACCAAACTTAATTTATAAGAAACTTTAAAAAATTTTCACTTGAATAAAAAAGGAATGTTTGTAACTCGTTAAAGACCATGCAAAAAATGAATATTACCATAGAAATTACATATACCATATCTTTACGTGTTAAATATGCTCTAAGAGGTGGCAGATAATTAAAACTTTTTTAAACAAAATTTCTATTCCAGTTTAAAAATGAAAGTATATATATATTTTCAAAATATGTAATTATAGCCTTGGAAAATGTTAATTAAAAGTTTTAATATGGTTGACCCACAGCTCATACTAATTCCCAGGTGCTCATGAGACTAAATATTTAGTAAATTTGCTAATTCTTTTATTATTTATTATTTTTTATTGATTGAATTTAGAGAGAGAGGAAGGGAGAGAAAGGAGAAGGGAGAGAGAGAGACAAACATGGATTTGTTGTTCCACTTGTTCATGTGTTCATTGGTTGATTCATTGTGCCTTGATCGGGGATCAAACATGCAATGCTGGTGTATCAGGGTGGCGCTCTAACCAACTGAGCTACCTGGTCAGGGCTCTAAGTATTTATTTCATAAAGATTCTGTATCCTCACCAAATCTTCTGTTCCTGCTTGTATTTATGAAGCAGCTCTACAGTTTCAGCTGAGGGACATGTGAGAAGAAAGTTCCAGGTCACCATCACACAACACAGGCTTCCTGCCACTTAGAATCTCAAAACGTCAGGACAGTTCGAATGCTGAAATGGAAAATGATCATTTTTAGTGATTTGTCCCATACATTCCAAACTAGAAAAGTTTAAGCAATTATCCGTCCTATCTGTTAGAGGAAACTTCAGGTAAATTCTGTTGTTGGAAACCCCTCTGGCCCTGAGGGCCACACCAATTAATTTTCTTTCTCCCATGTCTCTGATAAGGGTATCTGAGATGATTCTTGAAGCCTCAGCACAGCTGTACCAGGTGGAGAAAGGGAAAGGGGATTTTCTGGCTGCAGAGAAAATATGAAGGTGTGAACAGGAAAGGTAATCCATTGTGCTTAGACTTCTGGATGCCTAAGAGATTGTGGAAGTAGGTGAGACCTACTCCCTGACTCCATCCCCACAGCCTGGCACCAAGGCTGCACTCCAGTGGGTGCTAAGTTCTCAGCTGTGGATGACTGGCTATGTTAACAAATAAATAGTAAAGGCTTTTAAAACCATGTGAAGGCATTGACATTTGGGGCAACTTGAGTTTTAGTAGCTTAATAAAGGACTGAGCACTATGGTAAAACAAAGAAGGCAGGAGACCTTTTTATATTAACATGCCTTTTTATATTAATATAGAGGTGATTGGACTGAACTAGGTAATGCTCTGGACAATAGAGGAAGCAAGGGAAGAGACCCTGGGATTTGCATCTTCAGGGCTCAGCATCAGTATCCATGTGGTCGGCAAGACCGAAGAAATCAAACGTGATGCTCTGTTTGTAAAAGCAGAAATGTAACATTATTTGCTAAGATAACAGGTACTGGTGGAAGAATTATTTGGGGTCAAGTTAATGAAAGTATAGCACTCCAGTGAAGCTAGGCAGGAAGCAGTTGAAAATGAAGCTCTTAGGTTTACAAGTATAAAGGTCAGCTTGGGATACTGGAAGCAAATTTCTGAGAGCAGACTTTGTGTCTTTGGGCATTAGTTAGTAACTATTGTCAAACTGGCCAATTTGTTTTGCTGAACTGAGTGAAGGTTGTTTTGATAGTCTAACCCATTATTTTCTTGCTTCAAAAAAGTTTGAATGTATGTTCACAGTACAATGACCTGGTAGTCTGGACCAGTTGTAGAGACAGGAGACAACGTTGAAAAAGCACTCAGGAGAAAACTTACTGAGAATTTGGATCTCAAGTCAAGAGCTCCTTTTGCTAATGAAACCCAAATCTTTGGCACATCGCAGCTGTTCAATAAATATTAACAGACCCCAGTGAGTAAAATTTCATGTCATCTTTGTAGAAGGCTCTCTGATTGCTCTTCCCAACATCCCAGTTGACGTTTGTGTGAATTTTTCATATTCTACATCTACCCTTGCTCCACCCTCAGAAGCAGTAAGAGTAGTGACAAGAACGCCCATGTTTGCTGGGCTTGGTCAGAGGAATTCGGGGTGTGGTGAGAAGAGCACAGGCTTTGCATTGATTTTGCATCCTGGTGCTGCCTCAACAAGGTCTAGCAAGTTATTGATTTGTTTTTCACAGTCTCAGTTTGTTCAACTGCAAATGGGAGAAATAACATGTAACCTTTAAAGAATGAAAGAAAGCACATTTTAAAAAGCACTTGGCAACTGTAAAGAAAATTTCGTGGCATTACTTAAAGAAGTTAGCATCTTTATAATGAAATAAAAATAGCTATAAGGAAATCAATCCAGTGTAGAAAACCAAGGCCTAGAGGATTTAAAAAAATTAGTTAATATAGGACAATGTTATACTAAGTCTTAAAAAATAATCAGCTATACCAATCTTGCAAGGGTAAAAAATCAGAAACAGGGGGATAATGGAGGCCATCTGTAATAGCATCAACAATACAAAAATAAGAAATAAAATACAAGAGAAATGGGTACATTTATAAGTATCAAAATTTAGAAGTAGCCTGTGTAATGAAGACAAGATCACCATAAAAAGCCAAGTACCTTTGCCCTGAATACAGCAGTTCAAACCCTTCCTGGATTTTTGTAAAAGGTAAACTGTGGGTTATCAACTGGTCCAGGTCAAATTTCCTTGCCAGGAAGTCAGTCACTATTTTTGGGACATCATCTCTGCTTTTCCAACCTGTAAATAAACACATATTTTCTCTTTAGTCTTTATTACATAATATTTATATGTATTATATTTGTATCTTCTCTCTTTTGCATTTTTACCTTTTCCCCATGTTGAACTCTTCTCAACATCACACAAATAGGCTATTCTTCCATCCTAAGAATCTATTCTCAATCACACACCAATAACCTGTTCTCCCAAATGCAAAAAAAAAAACCATAGAAAAACCTTTCATGACCTCATATCTCCTTCTAGCTGCTCCAAATTTCTGTTGCATTTTTATGAGTGACTTCTTTATTTTAGAGAAAAAGATTATCTCTGGTTTGTTGCTTCCAGTTCCTCTGCCCACCCTGCCATTCCCACTTGTGCCCTCTGGGCATCTGCAGCTGCAACTCTCCTCAAGGTCACAGGGACAGGGGTGAGGCCCAGTGGGAGGCTGAAGCTTGTTCTCTTCCCACATTGTTATCTGGGGAACAACAATGAGAGGCTACTTGATACATAGGTAGTTCTTTAGGTCTGGCTCCTTAGATGTAAAAAGACTTAAACTGACAAACAATAAGAGATATAAGTTGAGACACCTCACTTTGACTATTTGTGTGATGTCGGGAGAGTACAAATTATCAGGATATTAAAAATAAAATGCAGTTATTCCGTGAATATCTATTGAGTGTACAGGCACCAGGCTGGGAATATAACAAAGTAAAACATACCAGGCCCCTGCCAGCAGGAAGCATGGGCACCGTCTCACTTTACTGCAGAGACTGACATGAGCAACCCAATGCAGAGGACTTTGTCCAGGATGGCACGAGGAGAAAAATAGAGTAAGGGTCATGGGCCCTGCTGGAGGGACAGAACAGGTGGGGAGCAGCGAGGGGATGCTATTTTGTAAAGCTGAAGGAAGGCCAGCTGGATTAGATGACATTTGTACAAAAACATAAAGGAAATGAGCTAGGCAGGAATCTTGGGAAAGAACATTTTGGGGAGAGAGCAGAGTAAATGTGAAGGCATTGAGGTGGAGACTTGGCAAGTGAGAAGGGCACGGAGGCCAGAGTGGCTGGAGCAGAGTGAGAACAGAAGAGGAGCAGCAGCTGGGGTCAGAGCCAGGTCATATGAGACTCTGGCCAGTGCATGTTTGGGGATTTTTTTCTGAACAGGAAAAGAAGCCATTAGAGCAGCGATTTTCAAACTTTTTCCTGTCATGGCACATATAAATTAATTTTAAAATTCTGAAGCACACCAAAGAAAAAAATGCTGATCTAAAAATATAGATATAGGGACCTGGGGAAGATGGCGTGGGAGTAAGAGGGAGCGGATTCTAGCTCCCGCACTCGTGGGTGAAAATCCTGGCAGATCTATAGAAAAGCAGCGCACTAATCCATCAGTTATCCAGCATTTGTGAAATTGAAAGAACAGAGAGTCTGTTGGATGCTGAAACACCAGAAAGCAGCAGGTCAGTGGGGCTTTGGGGTCCAGAGTAAAGACAAAGCAGCGGCGGGGGCCCGGGGGCCCAGGTGGCCCGGGTGCTGCATCTACAGCTGGGGTCCAGAACCATCGGTCTGAGACCAACACCAGAGAGGTCTACCACAGGAGCTTGGGCACCCAGCGGCTCCAGTGGCCACCAGCGTGGGCCAGCAGCTCCCCTGCATCCTGTATAAGCAAAACTGGATAACACCAGGCAGAGACCTGTCTGCTTGCCGGCTTGCATTTTTGGGGAGGGGTACAAAGACACAGGGCCCGGTTCAACTGCAGACTCTGTGATTGCAAGCCTGGGAGGAATCCAGAGACGCATTAACCTCACGGGTTTGGTTGGGGACTGAGCAGGAATGAGAGACAGGATGTCCGGAAAGTTTTGTTTTGTTTTGTTTTATTGAAAGTGGACTGAGGTGTTCTCCTGCCAAGGCAGATTGGCTTGTTTCCTATCCGACCTTGCAGCGAGCCAGGGGGAAAGTGGAGGCTTTTTGGGGACTAGCCACACGAATGGGAAGCGCCCTGCCGGTTACTCCGGGTCCCAGAAGGTCTGTTGGAAGCGGAGGCCTCTGAGCCAACACCAGGGGACCGGGAAGCCCGCTGCCGGTTACGCCAGTCCCAGAAGGACGAGCTCGCGGGAGCAGAGAGTTCAGAGAGGCGCCACAGGACAAAGATGCTCCCTGCCGGTTTCCTGCTCGAACGCATAGCCGGACTCTGGCGCGCACTGGCGCAGGGTTCTTTGAGCCGGGGCTACTGGTCCTTGAAACGCCAGACGGTTTCCCACGCGAGTGGGGGCGCAGAGAACTCTAGGCTGACGCCACTAGGGTCGGGAAGTGCTGGGGCCAGTGCGGACCCGGGAAGTGCCCGGGGCCGGCGCGGACCGGGGAAGCGCTGGTTGCACAGTCCCGGACAGCCCGGGAGTGTGCCCGGCAAGTGCGCAGGCACCCACACCCCAATCCGGTAGCCTGGCTAGTGCGCGCGGCGGGTGCACAGGCGCCCACACCCCAAGCTGGTAGCGCGGCTGATGCGCGCACTTGCGCCGGCATCCCAGCACACAGGGAGATCCTGCTACAACGAGAAAAACCAGTCTGGACAGTTTGAAACCAACAAGGGAAAGGTTTCTCTGTTGTTGCTGTTACTGTTTATTTGTTTTTTTTTTTTTTTTTTTACCAGAGGTTGGCCAGGCGACCCAGACAAACACAGGAACAGAAGGGATACACACCACGCAGCGTGCCATGACGAGCACACAGAGTTTTTAGGTCTGTGCCCAGTCCTCAGATCGGCTCCCGGCTTCCAGTCTCCCCCCCTCAGACTATCTGGAAGCCCGGGATGCTGAGGGGTCCTGGGAAAAGAGCTGAGACCCTCAACCCCCTCCCTTTCTGGCCAAGCAAGGTGGGGGGCCAGGAGAGACTTGTTTGATAGAGTTTACAGAGAGGGTGCGGAGGACAAAGGGCCCCAACCAAAGACTCTGTGGTTGCCAGCCCAGGAGAACTCAGAGGTGCAGCCTGGGGCTCTGAATCCGATAGACTCGGCAGCCTGCTCTGCTTCACACCCAGCTTGGCAGCGAGCCCAGGATTGGGCAGAGGGTCTGGGGCCTCCCAACTGAACGGGGACAGGCCTGTGCTCAATCCCAAGGGAACCAGGCAACTAGGCCGGTGCAGGTGCCTGCAAACACAGCAAACCAGGCTATGGCAGTAACCCCTGGGAGGGGAGCGCTGCGAGAAAGTCCTAGCTCCCCATTGTAGGGAGCTGGGGGAGAGGCACCAAGTGTCTGGATCCTGAGAGGGGCTGGCTGAAAAAAAAATCACAACAATAGACCCTCAGCCAACTGCAACCAGAAAAACCGGTTTGGCTAGTTTGAAGCCAACAAGAGACATTCCTTTTTCTGAGGCTGTGTTTGAGAGATTATTTTGGTGCTTTTTTTTTTTACTTTATTTTATTTTTATTCTTTCTTTTTTTTTATTTACCTTTCTCCCCTCTCCATTCCTTTTCTTTATCTTTTTGCTTTTTTAAAGTAATCTGTTATTTCTTTTAAACTTTATTACTGTTTCATCTTTCCATACTTTTGTCCTCTTTTCCCGGATTTCCTGTTTTATTTCTTTTTCTTTTCTTTCTAAACTTATTGCTCTTTATTCCATTCCCCTACCATTTTTTTCTCTCTTCCTTTTATTTCTTTCCTTATCATTTCTTTTACCCACAAGAGTCACAATCAACTTGAAAATATAAAAAGACCAGAGCTGGACCCATATAAGAGGCTTCCCAATAGTAGAATCAGAGAGACAAATTGCACATTGTTGTAGGAGAGAAGCCACAAGTTGCTGCATACTTGAGTAGGTGGAAGCAGAGAACAACAGGATAACCAAAAGAGACTGCACCATTGAAATTCACAGGCATTCCACCACAAAAGTTCATACCATAAACCCAGGGTGTCAAAACAGATTAATCTAAGAAGCTGAGGCTAACAAGAAGAGTCTCACAAACAATGGGAAGACAAAGAAACAATCCCCAAATGAAAGGAAAGGAGGAATCTTCAGAAAGAATGTTAGATGAAACTGAGGCAAATCAACTATCAGATACTGAATTCAAAGCACTGGTGATCGGGAAGTTCAAAGAGCTCACAATCAGCTACCAGAAACTACAGGGAAGTAACAATGATCTCACTGTGAACTATATCAACATGAAAAAGGAAATGGAAATTATTAGCAAGGGCCAAGAGGAAATGAAGAATACAATTTCTGAATTAAAAAACACAGTGGAAAGCATTAAAAATAGGGTGGATGAAACAGAAGATCGGATTAGCGAATTGGAGGACAAAGTAGAAAGCATCTCACAGAAAGAACAGGAAAGAGAAAAGAGGCTCAGAAAGAATGAAGAGAGATTAAGAGAAATGCAAGACAATATGAAACGTAATAATATCCGAATAATAGGAATACCAGAAGGAGAAGAAGAAGAACAAGGGATAGAAAACATATTTGAAAGAGTAAAGAGAGAAAATTTCCCTAATTTGACAAAAGAAAAAGTCACACAAATCCAGGAATCTCACAGAGTCCCATTCAAGAGGAACCCAAAGAGGCCCACTTCAAGACACATCATCATTAAAATGGCAAACTTCCAAGACAAAGAGAGAATCTTAAAGGCAGCAAGGGAGAAAAAAGAAATAACATACAAGGGCATCCCAATAAGGTTAGCCACTGACTTCTCAATGGAAACACTCCAAGCAAGAAGAGATTGGCAAGAAATATTCCAAGTAATGAGAAACAGAGGCCTACAACCAAGGCTACTTTACCCAGCAAGGCTCTCAATCAAGATAGAAGGCCAAATAAAGAGCTTCCAAGACAGAAGAAGTCTAAAAGAATTTGCTGCCACCAAGCCAGCTCTACAAGAAATACTAAAAGGTCTGCTCTAAGGAAAGGAAGGAAAAGAGACAGACAGAGAGAAACACAGGTACAAAAATGGCAATGAATAAGTACCTATCAATAATAACCTTAAATGTAAATGGATTAAATGCTCCAATCAAAAGACACAGAATAGCGTCATGGATAAGA